TATAAGTTACATGTTATATTCATTCTTATTTAAAAAAAAATACTTGAGTTGTATTTGTAGAATCAATTATTATGATGATGAGTACTTTTTATAATCCGCAAACTGAAGTATTGGATAGGTAACATTTTGCAAATTTCTAAACTATTAGTTAACCCAGCCAGATTTTTTATATCTTTTTGATTATAAATATATATGTGGCCTAAACTATTTACGAGCCTAATGTCCTCTGCACAAGGGTAACATCTGTTTAGCTCATTACTACGATTTTCGCTGGTAGACTGAGCTAACGTACGCTTCCTGGTTGTCATTATGGAGCAGGTCTTTTGATACGATACACAGGAACATTCATTCATATACGAACTCACATTTAGAGACCCACACTTATATATTACATAGATGATGAAATCATACAACAAATCATTTCTGATACTTGATTGAGTACCATCTAAACCATCAAGCAGATGCAATGTAAATTTTTGATGAAATCTAACTCATTTACATCTTGTTCTCATCAATATAAAAATATTTTAGAAAAATGTAGTGCAATATAATAAAATAGGTCAAATTTCTGACTAGGCACACAACGATCTAGCATTTTTGTATCTACCATATGTTACGAACGATTTTTTATTCTCGTCATTTATTTGAGCGTCGTTTTCTTTGGCGACATCTTAGAGATGAATATTTTCCATCATTCGTCGTGATATTTAAATTACGACCTTGCTCCACGCATCATGCGACATTCGAGTCAAGTATAAGTAGGCATATGTTGCTCAGGGAAAATGTATTGTGTCTTATATTGCTTACGAACACACATGGATATTATTATTAAGTTTTAATCCTATATTTAAAAAAAGTAAATAGATTCGAAGATAATAGAATCCAACAAGAATCTGGTAAGAATCTGGTAATAATCTTATGAGAATCTTGTCAGATTTAAGGTAGAATATGATTGGAGTCTTGTTAAAAATTCACGTGAGGCTTTTAGTGATTTGAAAAAAAAATGACAAAAAATCACATGAGCCTTATTGGCTTTTCATAAGATTTTTGTCTGATTTTCCACAAGACTCTTATAAGATCCATATTAGAATTCTACAAAACTCTCATTGAATTCTTATTGTATTTTCATCAGTTTTTTTATCATGATCATATAAGGCTCTCATCAGATCCTGTTTAGATTCTTGTTGGAATCCCATGGACTCCTATTAGATTCTGGTTTAGGTTAGGTTTTGAGTTAGGATTCTGATCAAATTTTTCTTGGAATACAAAAAGACATTTGTTGGATTTCGATAGCTCTATCAAACTATTATAAAAGATTCTTATAGTGCACTTATTAGCTAAGGTTCTTATATATTCGTAGTGAGAAATACGACTATTTTATTCGATTTTTATTGTTAGATTCTGACTGGATACTTACTGGTTGTTATTATATTTTAATTTGATTATAGCTGAAATCTAAAAAATAATACTAAATATAATATTTATAAATCATAATAAAATAATACTAAAATCTGCAAATTCGAAATAGATTTCAAATAAATTGGTACTCGTTTTCAAATTGATTCTAACTCAATTCCAACTTGATTGCAACTTGCCTCTAACTTCATTACAACTTTTTTGAAACTAAAATATTACTTACATCTTTTCTAAATTTTGCTTAATTATTGCTTATATTCTTGTCGAAATCTTACATGACCTTACTTAGTCTTACTTAACAATTACTTACCTTGCTTAAATATGATTTAGTGCTAATCCGAGTAGTTATATGGTTTTATCAAAATTTGAAATACTTTTCTATAATTAATATAATCATAGGTAATATAATTTTGATTGAAAGATCACAATCGCATTGGTTATTTTTTAGTAAAATAGAAAAGTTTGTTTTAGAAATAAATAGGAAATTTTGTGTAAATAGCTAGGTCTCAATTTCGGTCAATTATCACCCATATCGGTCAATTATCACACATAATTTGCCTCAAGGCAAAATGCCACTTACACCTAGTTGATTACATTCGATACACTGGTAATGACCAATTTATTACAGTCATATTTTTAACTTTCAAATCCGTTTTTAATCAAATCGGCGTCGAACGAAAAACGTTTTTGCCCCCGTATCCGACATTCGTAAATAGTGAGCTCATAATAAATAACATTAGATTGCATTACGTTTAAATTGAATCTGAACAAAAAGCGACATTTTCAATTTAGAACGCGGAATCATTTTAATATTTTATGGTGATTGCATGTAACCGCACCAGCAAATCGACCGAATCGAAGGGCTGGGGTTAGGAAACAAATACGAAATTTGTAAGAAACGTGTGGATATTCATCTACAGATTTTGAAAAACAATTTAAAAATTATTATCATTACTTTTCCTAGTAATTTATTTATTAAATTATATATAAAATAGATTTATTTAAAGCTCGTACGGTGAGTTATAGTGTTATAGTAATCCTTCAAGAATCTAAAATGAAAATTTTTGCATATATTTTACGTTTTGAAAGTTTCTGCACAATTTGGCACCATAGAAAAAATGGATGTATGTGTGGATCCAATTTTTCGTCGTCGTTTTCGGGCGCACGGATCAACCGATTTGAATGGTTCAAAAAATATTCGAGTCCTATTCGAAAGAAAAATAGAAATCGAGTTTTTGAGAGAACGGAGCATCCGATTTGAATAATCTAAAAAAACATTCAATTTGTAATGATTGGGAGAAGAGATTATTAGATTTTGGCAAAGGCTGGTCTAGCCGTTTCAGAGATACGGAGCTAGATATGCAAAAAATGGCAGGTTTTGATAGAACTAAGCATCCAATTTAAATGATTCAAAAAACTTTCTGCTAGTGGAAAAAATATTTTTTTATTTCATATTTTTTTAATTTTCAAAAAAAAAAATTTAACTAAATTTTATCTTTCAAAAATTTAATCATGATACGGGAAATTTCAGTAGCTTGCCTTAGGACGCGATGCCATACACCATTAGTTAAATTTTTCCTTTATAATGCATATTTTACTTCACAAAAAAGCTTGCGTCAATATCAGATAACAAAAGAATACATCTTTCTTCGATTTCTATCATAAATCTGCACTGGCGACTTAAATCTCATTATTTACACAGAAAAAAATCCTACAAAGAAATCAAGTTAATTTTCTTTCGTAAGAATTCAATTTGTTGAATGGCAACCAGACCACGAATATTATTTCATTTTATTCTTTATCTCGTTGAAGCATCTTTCAGATAGAAAGACATTGGTTTGCATAATCGATTTTCATCATTATTAAAATTTATACATTCATCCCGATTGCATATTCTTAAATGATAAACTCGCGGGATAAAAATTTGGAATGGTAACGATCGCGAGAAAAAACCAAGGTAAGGTCTCTTCTACTGCATTTAAAATAATATTAGAACAAATTATAAAGAATGTATATCATACACTCCTAGCTTTTAAAAAGTATTTCTTAAACATATTTTGATGTGAATAAAAATAAATTTGCTATTATTTGAATACCATTTTTAACTTCGATTTGCTAATTTTGTTTTCTCGGCGATTCACGTCATTCTGAATCGAATGAGACCAAATGTGTCTATATATATATATATATATATATATATATATATATATATATATATATATTGCAATAGTGCACATTTTAATACTTTGGTGCAATGATGTTTCATTAATAAAGTATACCAAATTGTAAATGTTCTCAGATTAGTTCAATAAATTATTATTTTTATTCTTAGCCTATTACAAATTATTTACTCAGTATATTTATTGTAATTGACAGTATATTCCACTGAATGAAAGCTAGGATGTTAGCCAGGACGTGCAACTCGAAAAATTCACTTATGAATAATAAACACATTAAACTTAAAATAAATAATATATTTAATATCAACACATTTAATAATTTCAATATCATTTCTAAATTTCAAATTTTACCTTATTAATTATATATTAATTAAAAACAAAGATTAAGAACAGTGATACTTTTTGTTTTAGTATTTGAAATAAACTAGCTTATACATACATCAAATTTAGTTTTTATCATACAATTGGTATTTTATTTTCATCATAGACATAGACTACTAAGAATTCGTAAGTGTAACATACATTTTGAAGTGTTGTAATTTGACAGTAACACAATGAAAATGTTATTGTAGTATTGTATTGTAAAATTGTATTGTAGTATTGTGATGTAGTTTAGTTAATTGTAGTGTTTATAATATTGTGTATATGCAAAATTAATAAGTTTTGTTGAAAATGTTTTTATTTACAAAAACCATGTAAGTTCGAAAACGGGGATCGGTCTATATATTTAGATAAATATATATATATATATATATATATATATATATATATATATATATATATATATATATACATCTGTGTGTGTACAATGAATCCTGTTTTTGCAGTTTTTAGGACCGTATAAAAGAAATAGATAAAAGACAAAAAAGCAAAATATTATTCGAAAATTTTATAAATTTACACATGTAACAAAGTATATACTGAAGCACACCTCAAATTATCAGATATTTCATAGAGTTTTTAAATAGTAAAAATTTTGTTTACATTTTTATGGGATCCGTACCAATGTTTATCCGTTGGACTGCTACGCAGCTAACGCAAAGCGGTTGCTTTGAAAAAAAGTTGAAAAATTCCAAAACATTTAAAAATATAAAATATAATTTTTTGAAGTCTTTTTTCAAAATTTCTCAATAATATAATTTTTTAAAGCTTAAAAAAATCAAATATTTTTCAAAAAATTTAATTTTTGATACGGATGTTCCAGGAACTTGCCTTAAGGCACGATGCCATGCACCACTAGTAAATCACTTGAATCGCGAATAAAACTCCGCATACTACTGTGACGTGACGTAACTAAGATGCGTATACCACCTAAAGCTAAGGGGCCAGTTCTACGATAACAGAGGACCCATAACATAGCGTTGCGCTATGGCAACGCTATGTTATGAGCTCTGTTGATCCATAAATCGCACAAAATTAAAGTCGAATGAAAATTGACGGCACAAAAACAGGTTTCACTGCATACAGATGCATATGTATAAATTTAGAAGGAGGGATTTCTTGGGCATCCACCAGCATTTTCAAAGTTTCCTCCGGTTAAGAAGAAGTCTGCTTACTTTTTGTGGTCGCTTATCTCATCGAAGTCTTGGTTCTGGTCGTAACGGTATCGCTTTTGGGGGTCTGATAATGTGTCGTACGCCTCGCCGACCTCTTTGAATTTCTTCTCTTGTTCTTTGCGTATGGCATTCGACGCGTGCGCGTAGCGATCAGGATGGTACACTTTGGCTAGTCTCCTAAAAGAACATGGCAAGTGTTAATCGAAATTTGAGACATTTCAGATTTGGATTTTTTTTAAATTTTTTTTTTTATTTATTATTACATATTTTTTACGATAATTTTGCAGCGATTTTCACCATTTTTCATTTCCCGAACGAGAAGTTTGTTTTCGCCTAAAAATCCGATTGGCTAATATTATTTTCTCGAAGTTTCGAGCCATTCTGAATCGAATGAGGCCAAACTTGAAAAAAGTATGTGTGTGTTTGCGTATTTTGAAAATTCAAGAATCGTTCGAAAGATATTGGTTGGGAATCGACCTGATTTGTTTTTGGTAAAGATCGGCCGGGACGTTTTCTTATAATAAAGTGTCAAACAATTTTTTTGACAATTTTTATGATTTTTTTTTATTATAGATATCATGGCGTTATAGATCATACTAAAATATTGCGGCTTTAGGACAAGCAGTTTAATTTTAAAACTTTATCAAAGTTTGAAAAAAGATTACAGTATTAAAATTCGTGTCAAAAGTCGCCTATGTGATGTGATAAGTTAATCAAGTCAATCAGAAATAACTTTGGAATTAGCGAAAAAGTAAATAACAGTAACAGTCTAAATAACTTCTCTCGTTTTGTGAAAAACGTTACTATTCATTTAAATCATTAAATAAAATCTAAAACTACGTACATACTACAGAATTTGGTTTGAATTATATAAATTAATAAAAATTTAGAAAAATAGGCTACAATTTTAGGACGCACCAGAACGTGCTTTTGCAATATGACTGAGATAATTAAGGATATTCTGAATGTGTTTGAGAGATATCAATTGGAAATCGCATGATTTTGACTTGATTGAAAGCGAAAAGATTTTTTTCAAAATAAGCAGTTGAAAATTTGATCTAAATATCCAAATTTCAATTTCAGTTGATCAAATCAATTATTACACCTATCGGGAAGTTCATGCAACTTACCTTAAGGCAAAATGCTACTTTCAACTAGTTGAGAAATAAAATTTGATTTTATATTCAGTGCCTAATAATTTCAAAACAGTTCTACGTAGATTTTCAATAACAATAAAATTTCTAATTTACTACCTGTAAGCGGTTTTAATCTCATCATTCGTCGCATTTTTCGGAATTCCCAGTGTTTTATAATAGTTTTGCGGTTTGCTTTTTTCCAAAGCAACTTTAGCTTCATTTAGCAAACGTTCGATCTCTGTTGTTTGATTCATTTTGTATGCTTTTTCATAATCCATGACCGCATCTTTCCAAAAGCCCAACTCACCGTAACATTTGGCCTTCCTTAACAGTGCTTTTAGGTAATTTTCATCAAATTCGAGAGCACACATACATTCTACTATGGCTTGTACTAATTTATTTTGTTTTGATAACACTGTGGCTTTATTAAAGTGCAATATCGAATTGAAGGCTTTGTTTTGGGGATCGACATCTAATGCTTTTGTGTACAAAGTGTGAGCTTCTTGTAATTTACCAGCATTGAAGGCGTCGTTTCCGGCCTTTTTCTTTTGTATTAATAAACGAGTCTTTTTGTAAATATTCATAGCTTGAACGTGGTCGGGTGCTAGTTTTAAGACGCGTTGAAAATGTTTAAGAGCTTCATCAATATTTGCTTGATAATACAAGCATATTCCATGAACGTAGTTGGCATCGATGTTGGATTTGTCAAACATAAGAATGTCGCTTGAGATTTTTTGCGATTCTTGGTAACAGCCCAGTGAAGCGAGACATTCAGCTTTTCGGACTTTATATCTGAAAATTGTAGTGCATTTGAGTAAAATTTTATGAGCAATATTATAGTCGACGTCCACAATTAATTAAAAAACATTTTTATAACAGAAAAAAGATCAAATGAAATGTTCTTATGCGGAATTCGCCAGCAGTGACTAGCATGCCCGCAAAAATGGCGTCACAGCATCAACGCATTTTGAGAATTTTATAATGGTCACATATGTTTTTGGTAAAAACTAAAGAGGTTTTAAACTTTCTCTCACATGTTTGGTCATTTAGTGCCATAAAAAAATCTGTTTATTTTCAATACTAATACTGTTTTCGGAAATATAGAATATGAGAAAAACAAAAAATTGACTTTTTAACTACCCGAAGAAGTTTGTGTTTTCATCAAGAAAATCGATTCGCTAATTTCATGTTTACTCGACGTTTCAAGCCATTCTGAATCGAATGAGACAAAATTTAGAAAAAGTATGCGTGTGTGTGAACAGATTTTTTGCCGTAAATAGACGTATTCTCAAAAAACGGCTGGACCGATTTCAAAAATTTAAAAGCCATTTGATGTATCTCAATGAGGACTGACAATGAGGATGTTGACAGTTTTGTGCGATGATCTGCCGAGCCGTTTCTGTGTAATTTGAAAAAAAGTGTTGAACTTTTCGTTTCAATTTTCAAAAACTCTTCGAAAAATATTAGTTGGAAATGATACTGAATAGTTTTAGGTGAAAAACTAACGAGCCGTTTTCTTGTAATTAACTGTTGAAAAAAAATTAAGCCGATTTTTATGAATTTTTTTTGGCGATATATACCATGGTCTTATAGAACTTACTGAAATATTACGACAAGTAGTTTAATTTAAAAAATTCATCAATAAAAAATTTGAGAAAATGAGTAGTTTTTTTGACGTTTGTTAAAATTAAACTTGGACGATTTACTTGGTATAACGATAGAGTCTTCGTTCGTTTTTAAATATGTGTAATAAATCCACCCGGAATACTTTCAATCACTCATAAATTATTTTATTTTTTATTGATTCATGTTAAGTTCATGTAACTTGCCTCAAGGCAAAATACCGATACCAACTAGTTTAGATATTTAAATAAAGCAAAAACACAAATGTTGAAAAGAAATTGTATGAATATAAATGGAGTATATATATATATATACAAATATATATGTATATATATATATATATATATATACATATAATATACAAACTAATTCATATATAATTTTGCTTAAAACTAATCAGTACATCTGGGCAAAAAATTGTATCCACACTAAACACACACTCCCATTTTTTCTAAAGTATGCCAAAATGTTCAGATATCTTTATAACGTAAAGATATGCAAAAATTTTCGACTATTACAATAACTTACTCTACGGGAAGTTAAAAAATTAGACAAATGTTCTTAAATTATGCTAATTAACTGAGTAAACTATTGTAATTTATATTGATATTTATCAAATATAATTTTGCATTAACAATATCAAGCTTTTCGTGTTATTTCTGATAAAATTACTTACCTATCACATGTGGGGATGTCATTGAGAGCTTTATCAATACAATTCAGAGCACTTTTGAAGTCTTTTTTTCGGAAATACTCTTCATATTTCTTCTCTTGTTGTCGCAACGCAGTCAAAACATTTACCTCCTCATTTGAGGTGGGGTCAATTTTTTTCACCTTTTCAATAGCTTTGTCGAATACAGTAAAATCGCCTGCAAAAGAAAAAGCATATGCTATCATTCATTGCAAAATTATAATAACATTATTTCTTGATGCATTTTAACACAATGCGTACAATGCATTCTCGATATTTCGCAAGCTCAGATAAAATAAAAAAAAAATTATGTGTGTGCAATTATGTGTGAACACACCTCATCTCTAATTACTCGTTTATAGTCTTTAATCATACTCTCTAGAATATTTGTCTCTCGATGTCACTATTTGTCTCTCACAAATATATTCGTTATTTCTTTGTTATTTTATCTATATGTCATATATATATATATATATATATATATATATATATATATATATATATATTAGATGGTAGTATTGGATTGGTAAATATTTTGTAGAGCTTCAAACAAAAAATCCATAGGTTTTATAAAATAAAAAACAGTGTCGACGTTTCATCTTCAAGACATTTATTTGTCAATATGATCTTGATTAGATTTAAACAAACAATATACTTAAGGAAAATAGAAATTTGTGGATTTTTATAAAATAAATAAAATTGTAAATGAGACGAAATTATATAAAAAATGACAAAATAATCTAAATAAAAATAAATGAGTGAATTAAATAACTAAATATTAAATTATTAAAAAGTTTTTTAGAAATGGTAGGAAAAAACAGAATTAATTACCTGCATGATTGATTATACACTAACAATTTGTCACTTAAAATCTTTTCTTCAATAAAAAGTGTGTTAACTTGTTTTTATTAACTTCTATTGAGGCAAAGAATAATTTTCGTAATTTGAAGTTATTAGTTATAATGTTTCTTTCGAGTTTGCCATAAGAAAAATAAAGTATTACTACCTCGATATTATCAGGTTACGATTTGGTGACCAACGAATTATTATACGGAAGAATGTCAAAAAAAATCACTCGGGTTAAAATCTCTGTGTATATGTGTTTGTGTTGTTTTTATTTACTAATCCAAGACATAAACTTAATAACGTATTAATTTCTGGTAAATATCGTTTGTTCTTCTCAAATGATAGTGACAAAATATAAACCCATAAATTTATCTATTCTTGTTTATCATGTTGATTATTTCTAGATGTCGGCAAGGCCAAATTTAAGCAACTTGCCTTAATGCATATTCCACTTCAGTTTAGTTATTTGCACCGTGATCTGAATTATACAAATAAAATAAATTAATTTTGATATTCTATAAGAAATATATGAAATATAAATATAAAAATGTTTGAATGAAACCCCCGGCCGGCTGCAGCAATTGTCAATCCACTCACCTAACAATATGCTGCATTTTGCAATGCGAAGATATGCTTTAGCAAAATTTGGATCGAGCACAACTGCTTTTTTTGCATCTTCCATAGCATTTTTATATTGAAAAAGCATCATATAACAGGCGGCTCTGTTTCCATAGTAAGATGAAGAATCTGGATATAGGACGATGGCTTTTGAATATTGTTGTAGGGCTCCATGATAATTTTTCTCTTTGTATAGATCATTTCCAATTTCTTTTTTGGCTTCTGCCAGGCTGAAAGAAAAAAAAAATTTATATGTTATTAAACTATTATTATAATAATAAATAATTTCTTACTAAAAATCATCTATGTATGATGTCATTGTCACGTTTGACCACAATTCACATGTAATAAGAAAAGTATACCTACACTATATCTACAGAAAACTGATAACAAATATTTTTTTCGAGATAAAAGAATAATCTATTGATAATTATATTGGCAATCTGCCTAATGCAAAGTAGTTAAGTCATTCTGATAAAAAATGTCCTTATCACTTGCTATATCACTTAATCTTTCAACCAGGTTTTCCGAAACTTTACTTCCTCTCTAAGGCCCAAGTGCTTATTAACTTCCCGAAGGAGAATTTTGTTTTTGCCAAAAAATCCGATTTGCTTATTTCATGTTCTCAAGCTATTCTGAATCGAATGAGACATAAATTTAGAAAAAGTATGTGTGTGTGAGCCGGATTTGACCTTTCGTCGACGATTTCTCAAAAACGGCTGGACTGATTTCGCAAATTTAAAAGCCATTCGATGTAACTCGACAAAGACTAATGTTTGTTATTTTTGCACAACGATCAGATAAGCCATTTGTTTGTAAATAACAGAAAATGAAGAAAAAAAATGTTCACGTTTTCGCTCGCAATTCTGAATCGATTAGATATTATGGTCTTATAGCTTGTACCTACTAAAATATTATAGCCCTAAAAGTCGTTTGGTTTTAAAATTTCGTCCAAATTTGCAAAAAATAGTTGTTAATTTTGGCGTTTGTCAGAATTAGACTTTTCTTTGAATCGATTTCAAAAATTTATAAGCCATCCGATGATGTAACCCTATGAGGACTATCGTTTCTCAGTTTTGTGCAACGATCAGTGGAACCGCTACTTTGTAATAGACAAAAAAAAACGTCTACGGTTTAGCTTACAATCCTGAATCGATTAGTTTTGGACAAAGATCGTACAAGCCGTTACTTCGTAATTAACGGTAGAGATTTTTTCTGATAAACTATTTCATGTTGATAGATATCATGGTCCTAAAGAACATACTGAAATATTACGGCCCTACGACAAGTCGTTTAATTTTAAAAATTCATCAAAATTTGAAAAAGTTTTTGTGATGTGATGAGTCAAAATTTAAATTTCACAAATTCAAAAGCCATTGGAATAAATTCGATAAGGAAGAGCGGCGATTTGGTTTGCGAAAATATCGGTCAAATCATTAGAAATGGCTTTGTAATTTGCAAAAAAAAAGAAAAATGTTGCCATTACATTACATTACATGTATGTACACCTTCTTATGTAGGTATACCATTATGAATACCTTCCCTATCACCTGCTTTTGAAATTTGATATGTCATTCGAGTGTGAGCGCAGACGATGCTAAGTAAATAAAAATCAGAACAGAGACACAAATAAATTACACAAAGGATCCCATAAACACAAAATAATGAATATATATCTTTCTGATATTCCCAGACATCAGAAAAAATAATCCGGCGCCTTCGCGCAGACACGCGTGTCCGCCCGCAGGGACACATGGATTCTAATCAGAATCCAAGAAGGACGATGTTGACATTGGAATCGTTTTAGTAATATGATTTATAACTAGGTGTGAGTGGCATTTTGCTTAAAGACAAGTTGCATAAAGTTTTTGAAATGTTTGATGATTAACTTAAATTGAGATTTAGCTATTTAGATCTGATTTTCAACTGTTTCTCTCAAGCACATCTATAATATTTGGAATTATATTAATTGTGGATCAGAAACATATCCTTGTATGTCTTAAAAGCGCAGCCAATTATTTCATATTTTAATGAGTTTCTTTCAATACTTGAGTAAAACTTTACAAAAATATTAGTAATATTTTAGATCCAATAAATTTGGAATGAATTAGAAGCAACTTATAATGATGTTGCAATCGAGTTAAAATCATAATGCAATTGAGTAACAATTTTTTTGTAATCCACTTAGAATTAAACTTTAGTTTAATTTATTTAGTTTAGTTATAAACAAATAAAAATTTCTAACTAGATTCTAAGAAGGTTCTAACTTAAATTTTACTAGACTAGGACTGAACTAGACCACAAATATATTCTTGTAAGGAAGTTATTAGATTCTATCTTGGATCAGACTGAAGTATCAAATTTTTCAAAATTCTAACTAGGTTGTAATCAGGTTGTAACTCGATACTTAATGGATTGTAACTTGATTATAACTAAAATCTCTCTAAATATTACAAAACTACTAGTGGTGGCATGACATCAGGCTTTAAGACAAATTAGATGTAATGTTTACATGAGAAGTAAATAAACAAAATTGGATTAAGTGGAATTAGAATAAAGGAACTTATCTCATATTTCTAAGAATTATATAAACTGAATTGCTTATAATACTTCTAAGAATTATATAAACTGAATTGCTTATAAGTTAAAATTATTCATATGAAGTGCATAAGGTTAAGGCTTAGAATTTTGTGCCTTCCTCAACTAATCGTTTCTTCATAAGCAAAATGTTTTTTGAATCATTTGAATTAGAAGCTTTGTTCTCTCAAAAACTGCAGATTTTTATAATTTTAGGTCCTTATTTCCGAAACGGCTAGACCTATCTTTGCCAAAAACTAGTCACCACCTCTGCCCATCATTACGAATTGAATGTTTTTTGGATCATTAAAATCAGATGCTCTGTTCTCTCAAAAACCTAATTTCCATTTTCTGCACTCTTTGGTCCGTATCTCTAAAACAGCTGGACCGACTTTTTCCCAAAACTAATCAGCACATCTCATTATCAATAGGTATCGATTGATTTTTAAAAATTGCAAATGGTTTGATCAGTGCTTCCAAAAACGTCGACAAAAAATTGTATCCACACATACATAAATACACGCACACAGATACACACACACATCATTTTTTTCGGACAAGGAGAACCCGCGAGTATTCGGATTATTAATATGGAATTATAATATTTTACGTCAATTTTTCAAGTATCACATCAATTTTATATTCATTCTAAAGGGTACTATATTATAGAATTTAGTGAAAAATATAAAAGTTATTAAAAATTTTAATTAATTTTGATATTATTTTCTCATGCAATTATTAATAAGAAATGAAAATAATAATAAAAAAACTGAGCTTTTGACCATAGACGCAAAAACTAGAATTTAATCAGCTCTTTCCCACTGATAAGAGAAAATGTTCTATAGTCCAGTTCAATAATTCGAGATACACAGCTATAAGTCTGTAAATACTTGTATATTGGCTCCTTAAAGTTGTATCAAAACCTTCATATGGTAGGGTGTCAATACCATATGTAGATTTTGAGACAAATTTAGGGTGTCAGTATACCTACAAGTATTTACAGACTTACAGCTGGGTATCTCAAATTCCGAGATGACCTTACTATAATGACTGGACTCTAATATTTTACCTCGGTCATTTTGGACATCAAATCTACCATTATACCAAGTTTTAACAAAATCTGAGACGAGCTACGCGCGGGTTCTCCTTGTGAGGTATGCTAAAATACTCAGAAACCTCTGAAACGTAAAGATATGGGGAAAAAATCGATTTCGATTTTTGGACGATTACAATAACTAACCTTACGGGAAGTTAATACTAAGATTTTCTAATTCCAAGCAGAATTCAACTAGATTCAAACTAGATTCTAAGTGGAGAAGCATGTCCATAAATAATCCGGTGTATTTAATTAAAACTCAATACTATGCGAATGAACGATGATTTTATTAGACATCGATTATTAGAGATATTTTTTATACACTTTTTTGTTTGTGTATTACAAATGTCATGACACACTTAAGGTAACTTTGAGCTAATTTGTTTCACTAAGTTTATCCTACTCGTATAAGAACTAAAACTTTGCTAATATATTTTTAAAATCTTGCTCAAATATTTAAATTTTGCTTATATCTCATAAAACAGATTTAGTGATAGTGCTAGTAGTTATATAAATTCAATAAATTAAGTTAATAAAATAAATTCTGGCTTGAATAGACTTTTCCTTCTTGGAAATACGAATCCAAGTTTCCATTGATAAATAAATGAGTATAATGAAATATCGTGAACTGTATAAACAATAATACAATTCTACCAACGATATTTTCTCTTAATCAATAACAAACATAAGGAAAACAAAAACAGCTCCTACCCGATCCTACCCGACCACCGCCGTGCAGTCGGTGGTAGGTAAATCCACTCGTTTGATATGATTAGCACTGGGACCGCGCTAGCTCCGAGCGTTCTCCGCGTTGTGTGCGAAACCTGAGAGGAATGTAGGAACATAACACGAGCCATGCGTTATTGTAGAAGGAGAGCTGGTAGTTGATTTTTTTGTTGTTGTAATTGATTAAAGTTAGTAGGAACTAGTAGTACGTGGCATCGTGCCTCAAGGAAAATTACTGGAACTTGCCGTACCGTAATTGAACGTGCCGCCATTATTATAAGTACTGTAAACTTCATTGTTCGTATTTGGTAGACAAAATATAAAAGCATATAAATTGGACAATGATGCTTATATATATATATATATATATATATATATATATATATATATTTACTTGAAAAGTTTATAATCTAAACTTGAAGGACCTTATCTCATATTTCTAAAAATTATGAACTAAATTGTAAAATTAAAATTATATATTTCAAATAGGGATGGTTTTTAAGTAAGCGGCTATAACGACTGGACTTGAATCAGAGGTCCCGGGTTCGATCTCACTTCCAGCAGCCTGGTGTCAAGCAGTAGTGACAACAATTTTCACTTGGACATATTGATAGTAATATGTTTCCTAATAAAAATAGCCCTCGTCCAGCATTACCAATAAAAAATTTGTCCTGTTACAGAAATTGTAATAATAATATATCTTACACAGATGTAACAACTGTTTAGTTTGCCATTTGTTAAACAGACTAGTATTAAGTCAAATTAGCACAACAGCTTAAAGTTCTGATTGCTGTTAAAAAATAACATAACTAGTGGTGCAAGATATCGTGCCTTAAAGAAAATTTCTGGAACTTCACGTACCAGAATTAAATATTCGAACAAAAAATATCAGTAATCAATAAATATTGATCAATGATTAATAGC